CTTAAGATGAGACTGTTTTCTCATTCATAGGGTGGCCACAGTTGGAGCTGACTTGATGGCATGTAACAACTGAAATATTGGTACCAATGCAATACAAAGTTTCAGCTCAGATGGCATGGCCAACTATCCCCTCAACATGTCTGTCTAGAGATGTCTTGTGCAATAGGCATCCAGAACTCAACAGATCCGTTAGCCATGATTTCACCACCTCTGCCCCCTTCCCCAACATGCTCCTTCTCTGATCCCCCTCACTTTGGTAAATGGCACCACCTGTGTCACCCAGCTTTTTTAGCCAAAAAGCTATGTGAGTGTCATCACTGACTACCATACCTCACTAACAGACCTCCAACTTATTATCAGGTATTTTGGAGTCAAAATGCAACCCAAAACTGACCATCTAACTCCATCAGCATCATTCTAGTCAAAGCTCTGGCTGTACCATCGCTTAATAATCTAGCATATCAGTCAACTGCGAGTTTCCATCGGTCCCCCTGCATCCACTTCTGCTTTCCTAAAGACAATTCTCCACAGAGCAGCTAGTGAACCTCTTTAAAAACACAAACTAGTGCCATGTCAAAAGCTGATCAAAATTACAAATGGCTCCTAAAACTAACCAAACCAAAATTCTTAGCATGGCCTTAAAGACATGATTTATTTCCTGCATACCTTACTCAACTCCAGCCACACTGCCCTTCTTGCTCTTCTTCAAATATGGCAAGGGGACCCACTTGTCCCACTGTTTTGAACTTGAGTTCTATTCATGCTTGTCACTTAGATAACCTCGGGACCCTTTCCTTGACTTTTCAGTTTTCTGTTAGAAGACTACTTTTCCTGATGAACTCATTTAAAGTATAAACCCATCACCATTAACCCCCTCCCTGCTTTACTTTTTCTTCTAGCATTCACCACTACCTGACAATATGCTGTAGTTACTGGTTTCCTTTCTGTTCTCCCTAACTAGAGCACCAATTCCAAGGAGAACGGCATTTTTATCTTGTTCACACTAAATCTTCAGTCAGTACATGCAACTGAATGAAAGTGGGAGAGGCAAAATTTGATTCCCTAATTTACTGAGCCTAAAATATTAGCAACCTTATATGTCTAGAAAAATACATGACAATAGTCAACACTACCACCTCCAACAAAAAAAAGCCTTTTTACAAAAATATGAACCACATAATATTGGTTTGTATGTATTTGAAAGTTTAATATATCAAAAAGCACAAAAGGTCCATTTCTAAAGGGCAAGGCATAAGAAATATATTCTTAAAAAAAAAAAACAACAACTTCCGCAGTATTCCAGAACATTATCTTAGCTGGAAGTACTATTACATTATTACTTACAATAATTCTTTTGCTCATTTTCCAACATCTGATCTTGTGTGAAGTAAACTAAATATTTTTAACTGTTTTAGGTTATATTGTTTAATTTTGAAAAAACAAATTATTTCATGATTGAAAATAATTTAGAAAAATCTTTACCACAAGATAAAAATAATCCACAAAGATTTTTTTATTCTCCCACAACCAAAAAACTAATTAACTAAATTTCAAGATTTTATTTAAAAATTTATAGCTAAATGTCAATATTAATAGAAGCAACTTAGAAAAACCATTTAAGAAAAAATATGTAAACTTATACACACTAGTAAAGTTTCAGCTTTTATGACTGAAAACAAGAAAAAAGTACAGCTTCTTCTAGGTCTCAAAATATACTACACAATAAGAGTTACAGCCCTAGCTGTGTGGTTCAGTGAATTGACTGCCAGCCTGTGAACTAAAGGGTCACTGGTTCGATTCCCAGTCAGGGCACTTGCCTGGGTTGGAGGCCAGGTCCCCCGGAGGGGGCGTGTGAGAAGCAACCAGACAGTGATGTTTCTCTCCCTTTCTTTCTCCTTTCTTCCCCTCTCTCTAAAAATAAATAAATGTATCTTTTTAAAAATTCTACTCAAGCAAGTTGGTGAGAGATACACATGGCAGAAGAAAACGAGAACTTCTTAAGGAAATTAAATTTGAGTTCCAAGTACCAAGGGCATCTACTCCCTCTTAATAAAATGGTAATCTAGTCCCTGATTGCATTTGGCTACTCATCTTCTTATACATAGAGCTGTTGACTCAATCTGCCTTTCTGCAATCCTTATTCTCTCAGGGCACATGCCTGGGTTGGGGCATATACAAGGGGCAACTGATTGGTGTTTCTCTCTCCTTCCTTCTCCCTCTCTTCCCCTCTCACTCTTAAAAAAATTGCATAGAACCTAAAAAGCAGAAGTTCAAAACCATTTTGGAGATTATTTAAATAGATGGATCCTTTCATTTAGCAAATGGAGAAAGTGAGGCCCAGAGAAGTTACCTTGTTCAGAGACAGACAAATCCTTAATGTTGGTGTCAGGTCTGGGACCAGGTCTGATTTTATTTAATGTTCATTCAGAATTCTATGCTGGTTTTATAATAAAGTACATAAAGGGTTAAGAAAAATGCTTATTTAATTATTAAGCGACAAAGGAGGGCATGAACTTATCTCTATAAAATAATCTAAATCATATTTTAAAAAGTCTTAAAAGAAAAAAAAGACAAAATGTTAAAACTGAGTATTGATATTTGGGAAATGTATATACTTGCATTTAAGTATTTAATTTTTTTCTTTTTTTAATATAATAATACTCTCCTTATTTTCTACAATAAACAACTGCTACCTAATAGTAAAAATAAGAAATAAATCAGAGAGATAAATGTGCTAGTAAAAGCCAACACTTGTATTATTAGCTATGGTTAATTTGCAGCATGTTAAATGCAAAACTAATTTGCTATTAAGCATGCATTGCTAAAATATTTCTCTGGTTCAGCAAAGCAAAAGCATTGATTCTGTTGGAAAAATCAAGACAAAAAAGGGAGAAAGTATATCTACATGCACATATAAACTGAAGTATTTTAAAAAGTCAAAAGATATATTTTACTATGAATTTATTATTCTTACTCTTTATAAAGAAATAGGCACTTACTATTAAATGCAAATGAAGCAAACTGCAACCTCTGCCTCTTGTCCCACTTGCCAATATGAATTTAATAAATAGAATGTGACCATTTAACCTTTAATAACAAGTTTCATTTTCTTCATTTTTCTGGTTTTCTCTGAATTCTCAAGGTAATTGAGCTTAGATGTTTTAGTACATATACATATGTGCAGAGTTCATTTGAGGCTAGAATGCCACATGCTGTCACTGATTTAGAGCCTACTACACAGAATGCATGTATGTGCTTCCAGCCTGTATGTCTACTACAGACCTGACAGTTCCAAGAAAAGTTGCCACTGGAGAATGGTTCTACTAGCTTAGTTTTCCCCTGTCCCCTAAACGATGCCAAATTTCACACTCTTGCTTTTTCTCATGTGCTCCCCCATTTCCTATTATACCTACCCTCCATGATTCAGGAAATTTCCATCCTTTCTTTTATAAAACATCCTTGCCTTACAAAGTCTACAACAGCCAGTCCTCCAAAGTAAAACGTTAAGAGTCATACAATTCAGTGCATATTGTTCTCTAGTGGTTTCATGTATGCTAACTTCACTATAAAGTAGATTGCAAATTTTAGGGGGAGTTGCTATCTAGCTCATCCTTCTTTCGCATTCATCTGTACAGTGGAGTTCAGTGACCATCAGAGGAAGGAATGAAGATACTCTAAAAGTTTCATTTAGAAATGAGAATCTTAGCAGAGGAAGTCAATCAGCCACACCACCAGGTAGTCTCAGCACTGACTGTACAGCGAAAATAGTTAGGTGTTACAGGAGAATCAGAGAATACAAGAATAGGGTTTTGCCCTCAGAAACTTACAATCTTTTAACTGTGGAACAACACTTAAAAATTAGAAAACAGTAAAGCAGAGTATATAACTAAATGTGTAGGAAATAAACTGCAGCAAGAAGAATGAGAATCAGTTTTACTACTAGCATGATGCCTAAAGAAGTCACTAAAGTTCTCATAAAGAAATAGAGCCTGAGACATGACTTTTAGAATAAAGATTCTGAAAAAGTGATGCATAGGATAGAACAGAATGAAAAACTCACAAAGCTAGAAAAAAATCAAGAGAAAATTAGAGGCACACATTAGGAATTACTGAATAATATTGTGGCTGGGTATAATTCTAGGGATCTTACCGCTAGCAGAAGAGCATGGAATAATTTAGAAGGAAAGAAAGAACAATGCTGGGTTTTGAACAGGAAAGTGATCTGGGGAAAGCAGAATTTAAATTAAATCAGCTGTGAGAACAAAATATATTGGAGGAAAGGCAGGCAGCCTGACTTAACATAAAGAGTAGGCAAATGGGAATCAGGAGACTTGGTTTCTTCATAGTTTGATTTGGAGTGTGTGTGTATATACTGTCCATTGTGCACCTGTGTTCCCGTTTATCAAATGAGACACCTGGGTTAACTCACTTTTCTAGTTTTAAAGTCTAATAATATTAATTCTGAGATCATATCATATGATAGGTGTAAGGCTTGTTCAGTTTTCCAGCTACGAGGTAAAGCAAAGGCAACGGGGAAGATTAGTTGAATACAAAAAACTTGGAAAAGAACAATCAACAGGACTTAATGGATCAATGGATTTGAGAAACGAGAAAATTGGAGGAACTAAAGATTATTTTACGATGTCACAATTGATAGCTGGGAAAAAAAGTGATATCTCTGAGGAAAGAGCTAACCTGGAAGGGAGAGCTTGCTGTGCTGTGTGCTACCCTATGCTTTTCTTGGATGCAGGGAAGACAACACTTTCTCTCCCTGCTACTCTCTGTGTAATCACACAGAGTTGGGTTGGGTCTCATGAATGCTGTGGTTACCAGCAAAGAACCAGGAACGATCTTGATTTCTGGTACTCCAGTTTATAAATACAGCTGGATCATCTCCACTGATGCACTTGAACACACCCTATACTTCTGAGAACATCAAAACCACTATGCACGACATCTTTATCCGTAGGCAAATGACGTCCATATTCGGTAACACTCACTTGATGCTAGGGAGAAGGGTGGCAGCTGGAGGAGGAGGAGAAAGCCGAGGAGGAACATCATATTCTTCACTTCCCAGGTGACCATTGGAAAAGACCTGAAAGGAAATCAAAGGGTTAGTTTAGAATTTAACTTCTGGAAGATCTTAAAACAATAGCAGCATTAGAAAATCTATAATTTTGAAAAGAACATATAATTTCAGTTTGTTTAAACAAGTGCAATGTCATATAATTCATGTAAGAGTTAAGAGCACCACAGTGATAATTCACCAGCACCCAAAGTAGTACCAAGTTACATGAAAGAAATGCAATGCAACATGATTCTTAAACATATTGAGGAGCAATACTGTAATTTCTATGAATTAGATTTGGATAGCTAGGTAAAGAAAGAGTTAAAATTCCCCAAACATGATCGGTTTTTATTGAAATGTTAGAATTCTCTGGAAAGATTCAGAAAATAAAAAAGCAGCACTGATGCGATTCTTACTTCAGTTCCTCCCAAATAAGTGTTCTAAATTGTATCTCTCAGGGGTTAACAACATTTTTATTCTTGGCAACACAGTACATGAGTACTATCAGAAATGCCTGTGTTCTTTCAAACTTCAGCACTGCCGATAACTAGAGACCTACTCTGGCTTTCAAAGTGCAGGCAATTTTATACACAGTTTTCTGTGTATATGACACAAACCAAAATTGTTACATAGGTAACATATAGAGTCACTGTTTAATTACTCAGAATTTGGAAATTTTGATTTCCGGGCTGCTTGCTCAGTTACATTACAGGGACTGCTCTTTACTAATCCAAAAACATGAAATTAAAGCAACATGAAGAAGAAGAGGGAGAATAATTTTGTAAAGACATATTCACAACAAAATATTAAACATATTTTAACACAGTTAAGCAATCTTTAGTGTTTTATCACTGGGCTCCTTCCCAAACTCTTATTAATACTTAAAAGGTATAGGTAGATGATAGGGCAAAAGGGATGTAATATAACTTGAACAGTCCTAGGTAACCCAATCAATCAATGACCTACCAATTTCTCACTCCCCCCTTCATATTTCTAGAGTGCTGCTGCAGCTTTACAATACAAAATTGAAAAAGCCATACATATACTCCTCTATCAACTTAAAATATGAAAAGGAACATGTTTAAGGAATACATTTGAAATATATCAATTTTTGCATTTCAAAGTGACATAATCTAAATTGTATAACATTTAGGCTCTGTACTACAATTCCACTTTTCTATCTCCCCCATTAGATTCAAAATATTATTTATATATATATATATATATATATATATATATATCTTTAAATAAAATAATTTTATTGTAGGCTTCTGATTATAAGCCAAATAACAAAACAAGGCAGTTTTTGAACTTTGCTACAGAGAAAAGTTCCCAATACATATTAATTGTTATAAAGTTCAGTAAAAACCTTTAATATAAAAAAAATGCATTTAACTCACAAATACATGTATGAAACCACAAATGTTCATTGTGATAATGGACATTTAAAGCCATTCTTAATTGAAGTCCTGTGCATGTTACCAGAATGGGTACAATGTAAAATTTTTGCAATCAACTCTCCTTGATGTTTCTCTCACAAATATATTTAAAATTTCACTCTAGAAAATGTGTTATGAATTTTATTTTCAATAATTTGTTTTATTAAGGGAAAGTATCTAATGTACTGCTGATAACTAATAAATCTTCAGCAGCTATAAAAGGGAAATATGGAAACAGTAATTTGTTACATTGGCTCTAATCTAACAATAAACTGACCATAATTTTATAATCAGGACATTGTGAACATATATGAAAAGAAACACCAACATACTCAAACAATTACTGATATTAAAAATGCTTTCATTTGTACATTTGGTAAATGAAGGAATAAATATATTAATAATGAAGTGTACATGACATTGTGGGTATTATCATTAAATTTCAACAAGTCACACAGGCAATGGTGTCTGTCATCAGTAAAATCATAAAGCATAGTTAATAATGCAGCTTATTCTAGGGGATCCATAACCTAAGAAAGTTAAGTGACTTGCCCTCATTTTGTGAAACAATATATTAATATACTTTCAAATGCAAACAGCACTTTGACTGTTTTTGACACATTGTTATTACCACACAGTAACTCAAGGATTTCTCCTGCCTCTGAAATGCCAGTGAGTTTTCTCTGAACCATTCATTTCATTCTTGGCATGTGCTGATATTTTGCTTATGTTATGTGTAGCTATGATCTGTGGAACAGCATTCATGCCACACTGAGTCTCAGCACAAAGTCCCTCCGATTTGTATGCCATTCCTTCAGTGTTTTACACACAGCATGGCTGAAATGAAAATTGAGGATTGGCTTCGATGACCTTATTAATGGAGGCATAACCCAATGAAATGACTTTCCTTTGGTAGAGGTGGAAGAAACTCTTTAGTTTACTGACATTCTCTCAGCAAATGTACACAATTTCTTTAATGGCTGACCTTGTATACAATATGGCTAATACCAAACAAGTAATTCTTTATAATTTTTTTTCATATTTGATAGAGGTTACATATATATGCAAACAGTAAAGGATGTAAATATATAGGTACTATGATGATGTTCATATTTCTGTTCATCTAAAGTGCTTATTTATATTACCCGATAGTGGTGGGATAACAAGACTTAACATAATTTCATTCTGAATTCTATGATCCCACCTGAATCCATTTCATTAAACTTAAAACCACTTTTTGCCCTACATTCTGCCCTGTCTTTATACCCTATATTCTGTCCAAAGTTGACTTCCTACTCTATGCATGTTCTTCCACCTCCATTGTGTTCCCTCTTGCCATGTGTACAAAAACACTTGCCAGTCTATACCAGATAATGTTTACAACAATGATGTCTACAGCCAGTGACCCTTTTGCATGAAGCTTTTTTTATTGTTTCTTTTATCCTGCATCTCAATTAGCATGTTTTTTTTTTCTTCTTGGCAAACCCAGTTTTTATTTTCTGGGTGCTATTCCTGCGCCTCATCTCTGAGTCAATGGTATACCTGTCCCACCCTCACTGTATGAAGCTTCATTCATTTTGTATTCCCAAAGTGTCTTGAATGTCCTAAGTGCTCATACAGGCATGATAGGTTAAAGGAATAAAAATACATTAGGGGACATTTCAACATATGAAAGTATAATCTCAGTTATCACATGATTTATTGTAAATTCTAGGTTACTCGTATGCTAGATTAATATTTTTCTACATCCTTCAAGAGAGCACTGAATCTTAATCTTGTAGTTTGAAGTGTTTCCTTATGATTCAGGTATTATCTAACAACTAAGTGTTAAAGATTTTGGGACCCTTGAGATAATAGGGAAAACAAATACTCTTGTGAATCTTGCCACAATTAAGAAAAACATTTTTATTTGCACAGAATCCCTAACACACCCCATTTTCCTTATCCCACACATGCAATCGAACACAAACTCTGCCCCTAAAGTGTTGCTATAGTTTGTCCTTCAATAATGTCAGACTGGAAATGAAACAAACATATATGGAGGACTCATCTTCTGAAAGACAGCCTTTGAGATTACAGATAGGCTTTAAGGTCATTCATATTCACACGAGCCTCACCACCAAAAGAGCAAAAGCCTCAATTTCAAAAAGTGAGATCACTCGATGTATTTATCTAGGAACATCCTCAACAGGTTATTACACACAGTGTCATCTCGGAGTGATGCCACGTGAAGTGACATAAGTTAGCAGTAGTTTTTATCATCACTAAGAAAGAGCAGTGGTCCTACGGTCTTTCCAGGGGAGTGAACAAAGACAGTCAGACACAACGTTAGTACCTAGAAATAAGGAGATAAACTTCAAGTTTCCAAAGGCATTTTAAAACATTTTAGTGCAAATATTTTTACCACAGATAATTAACACACACAAAACAAACTCCAACCAACAGAAATAAATAAATATCTAGTCAACAAAATATTTGAGGAATGGAGTAATGTGACTAGAATAGGAGAATTTCAGGGAATGGAAACAGGACAGAAATCTCTTACCAAGAAAATAAAACAAGATAAATAATGTCAACAACTCTGAGCTTGCAGATTTGTGTTAATAAGTATTATGTTAGCTATTTGATTTTGGTAAGTGGCAAGGAGAAGAGAACAGGGAGTAAATAAAAGTCACAGAAAATTCTTATACTTCACTTTATGAATTATAGGGCTTTCCCCCTCAGAACTCTCTACAACTAGCAAATGGAGTAATTAGAACTTAATTTATTCTTGCTTCCCTTACCATTTCTGTAGTGAAGATGCAAATAAAAAGGGTGAATGGTTCTAAGGAGTGACGGAAATAGCCACACTGAGAGAAGACACATGATGACAGGAGTAGGTTGTCACTCCATTTACAGGGTGTTTAGTTTTATGGATTCGCCTTATGGCATTCCATATGTGCATTTAATTTTAATTTTAAACGTTCAGAACTAATCCAAGTTTTCTTATCTTCAAATGGGAAAATAATACTTAATTTGAAGCATTACCTCTAATGAAAACAAGCCTAAATAACAGTTGTTATACTGGACACAAAAATGTAACCTTCAATACAAAAATTAACAGTTAGCATTCTAGAGCTTAAAAACAGGTTTATGTTACTGCTAAAACTGTCTAACGTAGTATTTAAAAGAAGTTTGGGACAAGAAGTCTCCTGTGAATTGGCTGGAATAATTATTATATTTTAAGTATTTCTGAAGTGCATTCAGGAAATAAATTGTTATATGGTGCTAATATATAACTCAGTGCTCTCAATGATCTCTGACAATTCACGTCAGAGATCATTTCAACACTCATCTCAGGACAAGTGTGCTCATGTAGGAATGAAAAATAATACAGACTAAAGGAAAAAAGATTAAAAAAAGAATGGCAGGTCCCTCCCATAAGGCTTCTAGGTTGTGGAAATATTCTTTGGAGGACAGTAATTTCTCCATTTTCAGAAAGCCTTGTAAAGATACTTCTGTAAGTTCTCTCCCTTTCAATAGCATCCTGTTTAGACAGCGCTGGAGGAAACTGGGAGCCCTGCACATGTATAACAGGGGAGAGACTGAGTCAGGGCAGACTGCCACCACTCACACCCTTGCGTTGACCACCACACAGGACAGTTAGACTCTCCTATCCTGCTCCCCTAGAATAATATAGAGGCCATCTATTATTACACAAAGTTTTCATTATCACTTTACCTTCACACATGTGCACATAAACACACACACACACAGGAGTTGAGTACATGTCACATTTCATACTTCTTTGTTTCTTGATTTTAGGGTGAATTAATCGGCTCTGAGCCATTACTTTGGAGGAATAAGTTACTTCCCTTAAATTAACAATTTAAAATCAATAAAGGTGTCTTCACTTTAATATTAGAGACTTCAAAAGAGGCAAGCCTCCTTCAGCTGAGGGAAGATGGCAAGGATCTGTCTGATCTCAGAACATAAAATATCATGGAAGCAAAAGTGAGAATCTGAGCAATTCTGTCAAGGGCCTGCTAACAATTCTAAACTCAATGATTTCTGCTGTTGCCTCACTGGTTTTCTACATGCTTACATTCTTTCCTGGACATAGAGATGATGGTAGTGATATCGTCAAGAACTCAACATACATGAGTCTCTCCCAGTTTTATGGAGAAACCACTTGCTTTCTAACAGTGAACCGGACTTGGTGTTTTTACATTTGTGAGAAGTGTCATTTCACCTGGTTGCATAGATGTATTGTCCTAGACAACAATTCCAATGCTGATTTATGATATGCTATAGTTATACAACATTATTTTTCAATTCAGATAGCACTAGGAGAGTTTTAAAAAAAGTGCTAATTCCCCCAACAATTAGTTACTAACAGGAAAAAAATTTGGCAGATGGAAATAAGGGAAGTGAAATAAATCTCCAGCAAATTGTCTAGTGTCTTCCTATTAAAATGAAATAATTACTTAGAACCTTTTTCTTGATGTTTTTTAAGTTCAAGTTTTAATGAGCTGATTATTTACAACTTGGAGTTAATCAAAGACCTGCAGGGAAGTATCACACTAAGCAAAAAAAACAAAAAACAAAAAACAAAAAAACAAACACTGCCCAATCTTTTATACTTCCTCCTATCAGAAGAGTTTAAGCAGATTTGTGTATTTCTTACCTTGGCTCCTTCTAAAGGCAAATCCTCACGTCTGTGTTTCCTCATTAGCACTGGGTCTGAGCCCATCCTACTGTGCCTTCCATTTACATTTGAACTCGCTGTGATTCCAGGCTTTGGAGAGCCATCCCCTAGGAGTCGACATCCTACTGACTGATTAGTCCCAAATATATCCCGAGGACACCAGGCTTCAAGAGGCATTGGCTGGTCTCTGGAAGGCACACTCTCCACAGGGTGCAAGTGACGACTCAGTCTATTGTCAGGTGGGATTGGGGGTGGTCGCTCAGGTGGAGGGGGCGGAGGATCTCTTAAGGGAGGAGGGAGTGCTGGGAGTGGTTTATCTTGTTTTCTCACCATGCAAGGAGAAGACTAAGGAGACACAGAGAAAAAAATCAACACTGTACCAGGCACTGAAACGACTTCTAGACTAGTATATTACTGCTTTTGTTTTCTAAGCCATAATGGAGCGTTCTTAGATTCCTATGTCATCTTGAAGTTTCTGTTTATTACCAGTTAGTGAAAATTTTAAGTTAATGGAAGACTCATATAAATATATTTCATTAGAAATTTTTGTAGAAATAAATATATAAGCTGAAATATTAAAATTATAAAGACTATATAAGAAATAACAGAATGCCAAAATTACATGATGATTTTTAATGGTTTACATTAAAATAGTGAGTCATTAATTATTCACACATTTCTATGAATTAGGAGAGACAGAAGAAAAAAAGTTGTCCTTTTACTTTTTTAAAAGCAACTTTATTTGTAATCTCTGAAAGACTTTTGGTTTTGCCATTTTTGTGGAAAAACCACTGCAATATAAAACAAATGATAAGGGCCAAATCTGTTCTGATTCTTTGTTTTATCAGTTACTGCCAGAATCCTGAAAATTCACAAATAATAGAATAGCATTGTTTATAGACCTCACTTCAATTTTAGGGACCCTTGTAATGGAAAAAAAAAAGAATACAACAACAAATCAGTGATTCTTTTATGGAAATACGAAGGCACATATATGCTCTTGAGTTGAATCTATGTAACTTGCATAGCTTTTACTTTTATATACTTGGTTCACCTGATGAATAATTTGTACTTTTGATATTAGAGAGAAAAGGAATGTGTTGTGTTTACATAAGTCTGCCTAAATAACACCCTAAGAAGTCTTATTATGATCCTAAAACCAAGTTAACTGTAATGGAGAAACAAATACTAATAAAATATTGCACTTCCAAGTAATTTTAGACTGTAAAGCATATTGCCAAATGGAATTAATTTTTAAATCTTATATTTAATAAAGCAAAATATGCCCTTATCAAATTTGAAAAAAAAATCTACATAGAACTAAAACTGTGAGCTTAGATTTACTGAGTTAGAATTATGTCTTTAATAATAAAACAGTAATGTAATTACTCTCCAAATATTATAATTCTTTATAATTCATTACTTTAGGTATAAAAAGTACATATAATTCCCTCTTCTGAGTCACCTTGAAACATGGGTGATAATTTATTACACCTTAAGCCCTTATGCAAATATACTCCTCTCACATTTTTCTTGTCATGACACTATAAAAATGACTGTAAAACATCATCACATAAATGTACTCTAATACATATAATGACCTTTAAATCCATTTTACAGAATAACTGTACTTATTCTACTATTTATTTTAGCAAATTGGGGGCCATTACAGACATGTGCTGTCTTTGAAATTATGGAACTTTTATAATAAGAAGCAAGGAATATAACAGGGGGCTCACCATAAACAGAATGAGAAAGCCATCAAAGTTGCTCAGTAACTATTAAGAGCACAAGAAATTTGACAAGTGAAATTTAAAAGAACCTGAGCAATCAATGCTGTCATATAAAATCACTATCTGTTTCTAGTAAGTCAATTCACCTTTGGTGACCCAGTGGGGCTGCCACACGGAGACCGAACTATGCCTTTCTGAATCAGATCCAGGCGAGGAGGCACGGGAGGCAGGCTTAAGTGTGGGATCTGGAGAGGGTCCGCTTGTGGCTTTCTTCTCTGTGCAAGGGGAGATGACCCTGGTGAGGTGACTGGTGAATTCTGTCTGTCAGTGCACTAGAATAAAAAAAGATAAAGATGCTTTGTAAAAAATGTTTTAAGTGAATGCCTTTCATAAGAAGACATTTGGTTTTGAGAAAGTGTCTGCCATTGAGCATCTGTTGAAATAAACTTACTTAGTTAAATCCGACTAATAAATGGGAAGAGCTCACATTGTCCCTGAAAGGTAGTATTATGTAAAAAATAAATGGATAATTTTCTCCTACATACTGCAGAAAGGGCCTTAGAGAAAAGAACAGCAAAAGTGTAGTGTAAAAACCACCAAGTGCAGACACTGTTCCAGAAACCTGTCTTCACTTACTTCATCAGGAAACCAAAAACACTCAGTGCAGCAATACACATTGTTCTTGGTTACCTGTTCTTCCCTCTTTGATTTATAGCACAGTCTAGAAGTAAGAAACCATTTTGCTCCATATAAAATATGTGTGCATCCAGTGTACAGTCTAGTTTTCTACAAACCAATTAAATGAGGTAAGGTTAAAAAAATGTTTATTTAGAGTAAACTGGTTTGAGCCCGAACACTTTCTTCCCAAAACTTCATGTAGAAAAACAATTCTCTGTTAAATGGTTTTTACTTTAAATCAATGAACTAAATCTAGAAATGTCTATGCTTCTGCTAAAAAACTGATATATTTCTATGCTACTACAAGTTTCCCACTTTGCCTGGTAGATAGCATCAAAAAGCCAATAACAAATATTGTATTTTGTCATGTATAATGCACTCCCATATACGCTGCACACCCATGTTTTCATGTGCATTACACATGGGATCATTAAACTCATTATTATACCCATGGGATGTAATCATTATACCTATGTATAAAGGCATCCTTATATTCTTCCCTCAAAAATTTGGGCAAAAGTGTGCATTATACATGGCAAAAATACGGTACTTCTACTTCTACGTATTATATGATCTGTCCGAAAAAAGTCTAGCCATTGTTCATATAACAAGATGGTCTGCGTGACACTGAGGTAACCTGGCAGCCAAGGAGACTGAAACGCACATGTGTGAACAATGACAACTTCATTGTACTAGTCAGTGGCAGCAGTAGACACTGCTGAGGGTACATGTGCACTGTGTGGCTGTCATTTTCAAAATGACTGAGTGAACAGAGCAATGAATCTGCATCAAATTTTGCATTAATCTTGAACATTCTTCTGTGGAGACTATTTCTATTTGGATGATTTAGAAGGCTGCAGCTGGGGGCAACTGGTGATTGGCAGCCTCGTCACGATAATGCACCCATTCACGTATCACATCTTGTGCAGTTTTTGGCAAAACATCAAATCACCCAGGTGACTCAGCCCCACTATAGTCCAGATTTGGTGCCCTGAAACTCTACCTTTTTACAAAACTAAAATCAGCTTAAAAGGGAAGAGATTTCAGACCATCAATGAGATTCAGGAGAGTACGACAGGTCAGCTAGCTAATGGAGACTGGGAGAATTGTGTGAAGTCCTAAGATACCTACTTTGAAGAGGACTGAGGTGTCATTGTCCTGTATACAATGATTTTTATATCTTGTATCTTCCTCAATAAATGTCTCTACTTTACTACATGGCTGGATACCTTCTGGACAGACCTTGTCTATAATGCTTCCACTTTATAAGGTTTTGTATTTTTTTAATTGTGAACTAACCTGATTGCTTCTTGGTATAAAAGACATACTAATTAATCAAGTAGCCTCTCTATTTCATTAACATTCTATTCTGAAATATTAGGCAGTTTCCTTTTCTAGGCCGTTACTAGCTTTTAGGAGATTGAGGCATAATTTTTACACCCACTTCATCAATCTAGCATGACTGGATATTCCTGTTTCCCAGCATTAGTACTTCTGAAGAGTTTTAAGTTTGTTTTCAAGCCATTTCTCACCTTTATAAGAGTAGTCAATGTCAACAACTGAGAACAGAATTCCAACTCTAACGATGGTGAGAAAGATTTAGCCACTCTGTCTTTATCTAACTGAGATGGGACAACAGATCTGTGTTCCCACTGACACTCAGTTACACTTAAACATTTTTTTCTAATTAACTGACATTGGATTTCATCTGATTTTTTCCTCATGTTTAGACAGGGGTTGTTGATTTTTAGAAGGAAGATGACAGAGGTAAAGGAACATTTTAACCACTTAATGTCATGGGTCCACACTATCAATATGATTTACTGTTGATGTTGACCTTGATTACCTGGCTATATAGTAACTGTCGCGGTTTCTTTTCTTCACTATAAATTGTAAAGTTACCTTCTTTTTTTTCCCCTTTCCCTACTGTACTCTTTGCAAGGAAGTCTTTATGCACAGCCCACACTTAAAGAGTAGGGAGTTATGCTCCCCTTGTAAAGGTTTTTTTAAATTGTATTTTTCCATTACCATTTATCCCCTTTATACTCCCCACACAAACACACACAATCACTACATTGTTGTCCATGAGTCCTTTCTGAAATAAATTTAAGTGGCTAAACAGAAGCTTTTAGACCATACCTCAGATATGCTGAAATATTGTCATGACATTGCTAAACTTTCAGGTGTTTGTCTCTCAACTGATCAACTAATTTAAAATAGGTCAGTATATTCAGATATAACTTTCTGACAATTTTAAGAACTTTTTCTCTGTAGTAATTTCATAATGCTTTTTATATCTCTTACCTGTGGTAAGACAAAATATTTTCAGTTGTTACTAAGTTGAAAGAGAAAAAGTAGAAACTCTATAGTAATAAACTGATTTTAATGCAGTTAGTGACTCTTAACAAAATAGCAATCCCCCCCCATAAAGTTATGGGGGCTTCCTTACATGGTCATGATTTTAACCTTATGGAATGCAATCTATCCAAAAATGATCATTGCGAAAAGAAAAAGAATTCCTGATGTAAAGCTATAGGTTTGCACCACAGTATCCCAGCAATTCAAATCAGGAAATGTCACAGGGCATCTAATTCTCCACCATTCTCTTCAGGGTAAATTACATTCCCTGAGAGCTAGCAAAATTTAACTGATAAAAATACTTTGTTAATCTGCTTATTATTCTTTAAAAAAGACTCAAGAAGTAAAGCTATTCACATAATTTCTACCCCAAGTAGTTTATTTCTACCCCAAGCAAAATACACACACACACACACACACACACACACACACACACACACACACACAGTATAGCACTTCATTAATTTAGGTACTTGCAGAGAACTTTTTTGGTTCTAGGTGCACACACTGCAAGGACTGCTGAACAAGACCTATTCTCCAAGCACTTTTATTCCAAAACTATCTTCCTGCTTCCCTCATTACCTGTAACAGGAAGGGGACCTCTGACAGAGCCAACAGCCCACTGCCATCAGAACTTGACTTCCACTTTAATTGATAGTATTTAAGCAGTTACCAAATTCCTAGTACATATAAATAATGGGGTGGATTTTATTTAAAATGGGTGAATTATCAGACTTTGAAAGGGTACAGTGAAAGTCATCAAGACAGATATCCAAACTGATGCGTGTGATGCAGCAATAACCTTGAATTTCCACATATTTCCCAACAAGCACACTGTCTCACAGTTTTGTGAATATAATTGGAAGCAGCCCTTGTTTAGCACAATTCAAACTGTATTCTCAAGGTGATTATAGACTGTTCTTCTGAAGAACTAATTCATTTTGAAGCATTATACTATCTATAAGTTGGCTTAGGTAGAAGAATTTTATGGAGGATATATTTGTATATAAAGGAACAAAAACATTTTATCTTTATTAATAATGTAGATTAAATTCACCATAACTTATTTATTTTTCCAAGTTCTCTTAAATTATAATAAAGTTCCCATATAAGTATAGATGATTTAACAATGCCCTATAGATGATAACATGTTAGTTTTGTTTGGTCCAACATTTTGCTATCTCTATGAACAATTCTGCAATTAGAACACTGAATATTTGCATTAAATTTTATTGCTGGTTATATTCAATGATAACTATGGACATTTGTAAACATTTTTTATTAAATGGTCATATAAAGGTCATTTTTAATTTATTTGAATAATTAGCATTTTTATTTCCTTCCTACTTGAAAATCTAAGGAGGAAAAAAGCCCAATGCAATGTTTTACACTTTAGCTTATAACTAAATTTCTAGATGTGACTTAAAAATTAATGACATCAAATTTATTAGTTAATGAGATCAAGGAAAAAAATCAAAACATACCTTGAAACAAATGAAAATGAGGACACAACAATCCAAAATCTGTGAGACACGGGGAAAGCAACCCTAAGAGGGAAATTCATAGCATTATAGGCCTATCTCAAAAACAAGAAAAAAATCAAATGAACGATCTAACTTTACACTTAAAGGAACTTGAAATAAAACAATGAACAAAGCCCAAAGTGAGTAGAAGGAAGAAAATAATAAAGATCAGAACAGGAGTAAGTGAAATATAGAATCTAAAAAAGATACAAAAAAAAAACAATGAATCCAAGAGCTAGTTATTTAAAAATTTGAAAAAGACGGACAAACCTTTAACCAGACTCATCAAGAAAAGAGAGAGGACCCAAATAAATAAAATCAAGTGAAAGAGGAAAAATAACAACTGACACTAAAGAAATACAAAGGACTGTAAGAAAATATTATGAATAACTGCCCTGGCTGGTACGGCCCAGTGGATTGAGTGTGGCCTTAGAACCAAATGGTCGCCGGTTCGATTCTCAGTCAGGGCACATGACTGGGTTTCAGGCCAGGTCCCCAGTTGGGGAAGCACATGACAAGCAACCACACATTGATGTTTTTCTCCCTCTCTTTCTCCCTCCCTCCTCTCTCTAAAAATAAATAAATAAAATCTTTTTTAAGGAGGAAATATTATGAATAACTATATGGCAACAACCTGGACACAATGCATAGATTCCTAGAAACATACATTCTTCCAAAACTGAATCAGGAAGAATCAGATAATCTGAATGGACAGATTAGATCTAGTGAAATTGAAGCAGTTATCAAGAGGCTCCCAACAAAAGCCCTGAACTGGATAGCTTCACAGGTGAATTTTACCAAACATTCTGAGAAGAACTAACGCCTCTTCTCAAACTAGTTCTTAAAATTCAAGAGGAGAGAAGGCTCCCAAACTCGTTTAATGGGCCAGCATTATCCCAATTCAAAAAACAGATAGAGACACTACAAAGAAAGAGAATCAAGACCAATATCCCTGATGAGCATAGACACTAAAATCCTCAACAGAATATTAGCAAACAGAATACAGTGATGCATCAAAGAGATAATACACCATGATCAAGTGGGATTTATTCTGGGAATGCAAGTTGTACAACATTTGTAAATCAATATATGTGATTCACCACATTAAAAAAAATGAAGGTTGAAAACCACATGATCAGATCAATAGATACAGAAAAAAATTTGATAAAATCCAGCATCCATTTATGATAAAAACTGTTAGCAAAGTGGGAATAGAGGGAACATACCTAAACACAAAAAAGGCCATATATGACAAACCCACTGCCAGCATCATACTCTATGTGCAAAAACTACACGTGTTCCCCTTAGGATTGGGAGCAAGGCAGGGATGTCTGCTTTCACCTCTCCTATTTAACATAGTACTGGAAGTTCTAGCCATATCAATCATATAAGGAGAAAATATAAAAGGCATCCACATTGTAAAGAAAGAAGTAAGACTGTCATTATTTGCAGATGACATGATACTGTACATAGAGATTCCACCAAGAAACTACTAGAACTGATAAATAAATTCAGCAAAGTAGCAGGATACAAATTTATATTAACTTTCTGTATCTAGAAATCAGTTGCTCTTTTGTATGCCAATAACAAACTAACAGAAAAGGAGATTAAGAAAACAATCCTATTCACAATTTGTACAGAAAGAATAAAATACCTGAGAATAAACCTAGACAAGTACGTAAAAGACCTGTACTTGGAAAACTGTAAGACACTGAAGAATGAAGAAGATAAAAATAAGTTGAAGCACAAACCGTGTTCATGGATAGGAAGAATTAAATTAATTAAAATGTCCATACTACCCAAAGCAATCTATAGATTCAATGCAATTCCTATCAAGATTCCAAAGACGTAATTCATAGAGCTAGAACAAATATTTCAAAAATTTATATGGAACCACAAAAGTCCCCACATAGCAACAGTGATCCTGAGAAAGAAGTATAAAGTTGGAGGAATCACACTACCTAATAGCAAACAATATTATAAAGGCATAGTAATCAAATCAGCATGGTACTAGCATAAAAACAGACACATAGATTAATGAAACAGAATAGAGAGTCTAGGAATAAACTCACAGCTTTATAGTCAATTAATATTCAACAGAGGAAGCAAGCACATACAATGGGTTAAAGGTAGTTATTCAAAACCGGTGTTGGGAAAATCAGAGAGATAAGTACAGAAAAATAAAACCAAACCATCTTCTTATACCACACATAAGAATAAATTCAAAAATGGATCAAAGACTTAAATATTAGACCCCAAACCATAAAAATCTTAGAAGAAAACATAGGCAACAAAATTTTGGACAATGCTTGTAGCAATATTTTATTGGATATATCTTCCCAGGCAAGGGAAACAAAAGAAAAAAATAAACAAGTGGGCCTACATCAAACTAAAACGTTTCTGCACAGCAAAAGAAATCATCATCAAAATAAAAAGACAACCCACAGAATGGGAGAACATATTTGCTGATGCATCTGGCAAGGGGTTAGTATCCAAAATTTATATAGTACTTACAAAACTCAACACCAAAAAACCAAACAACCCAATTAAAGAATGGGCAAAAGACCTAAATAGACACTTCTCCAAAGAGTACATACAGATGGCCAACAAGACATATGAAAAGATGCTCAACATCACTGATCAACAGAGAAATGCAAATTAAAACCACAATGAGATATCATTTCACACCAGTCAGAATGGTTATCATCAATAAATCAGCAAAGTGCTGGTGGGGATGTGGAGAAAGGGGAACCCCTGTGCATTGTTCATAGGAATGCAAACTGGTGCAGCCACTGTGGAAAGCAGTGTGGAAACACCTCAAGAAATTAAAAATGGATCTGCCTTTTGACCCAGCTGTCCTACTTCTGGGAATATGCCCAAAGAAACCCAAAACACTAATCTGAAAGAACATAAGCACTACTATGCTCATCGCAGCATTATTTTCAATCGCCAAGATATGGAAGCAGTCCAAGTGCCCATCAGTAGATGAGTGGATAAAACAGCTATGGGACATTTACACAATGGAATACTACTTGGCCGTAAGAAAGGAGAAAATTTTACCCTTTGCAATCCCATATGAATGGACCTGGAGAAAATTATGCTAAGTGAAATATACCAGTCAGAGAAAGACAAATACCATATGATTTCACTCATATGTGGAACAAACTGAACAAGGAAAATGGGGATGGACTCATAGATAGAGAGCAGGATGACAGCTCAGATGGGGAGGTTAGGTGGCAGAGGGATTGAGACAAAGGAAAAAGGACTCATGGACATGGACAATAGTGTGGTGATTGCTGCGGGTAGGGGGCTATAAGGGGACTACATGATAATGGAAGAAATATAATAAAGATAAATAAAAAAACTTATCAGTTCAACTTATAGAAGAGGAGAAACATTTAGCCATTTTTCCCTTCTGAAAAGAAATTAAAACAAAATAGACTGATTTAATATAGATCCAAGTTATTTCTTCTTTAAACTACACCTCTGTCTTTATCTAATATTTGAATATTTAATGGTCTTTTAAAGGACTTTAACTTCTAGACATCAGAATATCCCCATTATAGGGTGTCACTGGGTACAACGAATGTCTCTAAAGCCAAGATGTGATGAAGGGATATGTCCAGTCATCTTTAGTCTACTGATTTATACTATTTCTACATGGATTCAATAGACACTCCCCTCAGCCCTTCACTCTGCCTTCTTCCATAGATCCAATATTCATCCCAAAGTCACTTGGGTCATTTACTTTTCTCTACTTCTGGCACGTCATATAGGGAGTTTGTTCGGTGAAAACAACAACAAACAATACTGGAACCAATCTTCAGGCTTACATTCTAAGTCTGAACTGTGCTAACTTAATCACCACTTACTGATTTGTCCAGTAACCCACATAATCACTGCCACTTCTATTCTGTATAAAAATACATATTTAAGACATGCACATAAAATATCTTGAATAGAAGAATAAGAAAGCATTTAAGTCTTGAGAAATAACAGGTAAGTATTTTGTTAATAGAGATTTACTTGATTGGAATGTGAATTTCAAGTGTGTCTGTCAAAATAAAGTTTTCAGGCCAACTGATTATAAAGATTTAGGTTTTTCTTTTTTTAGAGAAAACCACATGATTAATTCACATACACATATTTACTATTTTTGGCCAGAACTTTAAAATGCTATGTAGTCCTATACAAATCACCACCTGTTGCTATTGTTCCCTATAGATTATAGATAAGGTTAATCCATTTTCTGGAGGCTTTATGGGTTAATAAAATTAAATAAAGTATGATAAAATAAAAGCTTCTATAAAACATTTAATTTTTATTTGGATGATATAGTTAGGAATATTGACTACTTGAAATTGACTCTCAATAGGAGTGGCATGTACGATCTATTTATCTCTAGTCAAAGCTTGCTCATTCTCGCTATCAGAACTCTATTAAAGTTATCTTTAAACAAAATGTTCTCACCCTCCTCCTTTTTTTTGTCTTCCACAAGTTTTTTCACTATCAAGCATAAACAAAGCAATAGTGATAAAAATCAAATACCTATACAGATATTTCTAGGCTAAATTCTTATAATACATTCAATAGTCAAACAGAAATGCTGATTATTTGCTATTAACACTGGCCATCACCACAAAAGTCTAAAATTGAATTTAATATTTTTATTTTTGCCTACTAATCTAATGGCTGTCTTAAATATAGAAATAACAACTAATAGTAGGAGTAGTTTAAGGGTAAGAGTAGATTCATGAGTTTAGGGGGATGTATGTTGTCAAACTTTTTACCATAATAAATACGTTTTACTGGTTTGGGCACTCCTATCTTTTCAATTGTGTTTCCATTTCATTTTTTGCTCCTCATTATTATGAACATAATTTCACTGCATAAAATTTTGGAATTACAGAAAAATATATACATGTTTTGAAAACATGTACACCCCATTGGTGATGGTTCCTAAGCACATATATGTTTTTAATTCTACTGTACATTGGTTAACATTATACCAACAGAATCTGAAC